GGCGCGCGCGGCCCTCTTCATTCTTCTTCTCTTCTTTTGTATTCGATTCGATTCATCTTGTCTTCTCGGCGGCTCTTCCCCCTCCCTCCTTCGTTCCCTCCTCCTCCTCCCTCCCTCCTTCGTCCCCTCCCCTCCTCGTTCCATCCTCCCTCCTTCCTCCCCTCTCTTCGGCCTCGGATCCTTTTGTATGCATTTTTCGTGTACATTGAAACGGTGGGCGGCGGCGGGCGACTACTGGTCGTACGCCCCCGCACCCTGCAGCGACGCCATCCAGATCCGCGTCTTGTACAGCCTACAACAAAAAAAAAGAAAGAAGGAAGGGAAATAGAATCAGCACAGCCGCTCCCAAAATAGGCATACGAATCCCAAAACGGAATGGATAGAGCGAGGAATCGCAAAGAGCAAGCAGAGGGCCCGCGGACGGGGTGCGGGAGGGAGAGGGCCGCAAACAGTAGCTCCCAACTCGCAAGCAACCGCTCCCAAATCCGGGGATGGACAGCACGGACAGGGACAGAAAGAGAGGGAAAGGAAGGAAACGCACCGGAACAGCTCGCGCACGAGCTCGCGGAAGTCGATGCGCTTCTCGGCGACGAAGTAGAAGGTGAGCTTGCGGCGGTCCCTGGACGGGGGTTAGCGTCGGTGTGGGAGGTAGAGAAATGAGGGAAGGGAAGGGGAGGGAAGGAGATGCCGGGCCCAACGGGTCGTCCGCACATCTCGGCGCAGGGCCACGCCCAGCGTCGACGCCCCGCCGTCCACCCCGGCTCCGTCACGGCCAGCGCCCGACCGCGAGGCATCGACGTCCACCTGCCCCGAGGTCCGAGGTCCATATCCGCCGCGCCGGTCGCGGCCTGCACACAAAGCATCCACCGCGCGCACGAAACGCCTGCAAGAGGGATCGAAGCACACTCACCACTGATACTCCGCATCCACCACCTCCATCGGCAGCTTCTTCGCGCGCACCTTCGTCTGGCACAGCGCGAGCGCCTTCTGCTCGTCCTGCATCTTCGCCACGAGGAGTCTGGCAGGGTGGTTAGCAGTGGATCATACAGTAGCAAAGAAGTAGAGGGAAGCGGCGAGTCATAGCGGCGAGCCACAAAGGCGCTCGAGGTAGAAGACTTGAAGCAGAAGAATGAGGAGAACTCGAAACTCACTGCGCATCCCCCGCCCCCGCCTTCCCATATATCATCTTCGGCGCGATCTCCTTCTTCCCGGGCGGCGCCCCGTCGGCCCCGCCGGGCGAGGTCGGCGGCGACTGCCCGCTGCCGAAGCGTGCCTGCGAAGTTCGCGTCAGCGGTGTTGCTCAGCAGCGTCGAAAACGCAAACGGCGCTCGTAGTGATGGGGGATGGATGAGAAGAAAGAAAAACACACCTGCCCCGCCCAAAATGCCTCCACCTCCCCCAGCGTAATGCTATCATTCACCACCTTCCCGAGATCCTTCCCCCGGTCCGCCTCCACGATCACCAAGTCCCCCACGCGAATCCGGTCCCGCTCGTCCTCCCCTCCCCTCTCCCCGCGTTCCCCACCTGCGGCACCCCCGTTTGCGCCCCCATTTGCACCCCCATTCCCATTCCCATTAGCACCGTTCCCGTTGCCATTAAGAGCAGAGGAGCCGAACGCCGGGCGCGCCCCCCGCTCCCGATCAACCGCCCGATAAAACAGATCCGTCCGCCCCGCCTTGAACTCGACGATGAACAGCGGCCAGTCCGCCGGCACCGCGTGCAAAGGCAGCCCTTTGCCCAGCTCCGCGTGCTGCTGCTGTTGCTGCTGGGCGGGGTGTTGCTGGGGCGCGAGCGCGTGGGCGTGGGGGTGCGAAGGACCGTGGATCGGGGAGGAGAGGTGGGAGGGGTGCTGCGACGAAGTAAAGTAAGTTAGTGTAGGGAAAGGAGGGAAAGGGAGGGAAGCCTACCTGACCGTGTCCCTGTTGTTGTTGCCCCGCACCACCCTGATACGGATAAAACCCGCGCGGCGACAGCGGGCCCCCTCCGCTGGCGCTCGGCGCCCGTGGCCTGTACCCTCCACCCACGCCTTCGTACTGCGGGTACGCCTCCCCTGCACCCCCTCCCGCACCCCCGCCTACACGGGTATCGATGCGCGGGGCCGGAGCAGGGGCCTGCGCAGGAGGAGGGCCAGAGAAATACGCCTCCGCCGCCGCCTCCGCCCACTCCCTCTCCTTCTCCTTCTCTCTTTCCCTTTCCCTCTCCCGCTCTCTCTCCCCCGCCTTCGGCGGCGAGAAATACTCCCGCGCGGGTGGTGTGCGCCCCAGCGGCGCGTAGATCGGGAGACTCCCCGGCTCCCGCTGGGTCTCTCGATACCCGCGCGCAGCAGAGGAAGAGGCGGAGGCGGAAGGGGAGAGGGAGAGAGCGCCGAGCCCTAGCCCCAGCCCCAAATCGTCGTCGCTCAAGAGCAGCCCCCCGCCCCCTCCACGCCCGCCGCCGATGCCAGCGCCGAACGGGCTGAACGCCTCCGCGGCCTGGGAGGAGGAGGAAGAAGGCGAGGCATCGGGCGCGTTGAAGCCCGCGGTGAGGCGCCGCGGCTGCACGACGCTCACGCTGTGCCTTCTACTCGTGCTCCCGCTCCCGCCGCCGCCGTCGTCCGTGTAGCCCGCGCCCGCGCCGGCATAGCTGTTCGCGTGGCTCGCGCCCGCGCCGGCGTAGCTGCTCGCATGGCTCGCGCCCGCGCCCGCATAGCTGCTGGCATGGCTCGCGCCGGGGCCCCCGCGCGCCCCCGCACCCCCCGTGCCGCGCTCGCGCTCCCACAGCTCGCGGAAGCTCCCGTCGTCGAGCACGAGCTGCCCCACGTCGCGCACGAACGGGCTCATGTTGCTCGCGTCCTGGGCGAGCGGCGAGCCTGCATTCCCGTGTCCGCCGTGCGAGTAGGAATGCGAGTGCGAGAGCGCGCCGAGCGAGCCGTAGCGGCTGCCAGGCGCCTCGAAGCGCGTGCCGGGGATGCTGAAGCCCTGTGTGTAGGACGCCGCGGCGGACGTGCGCCCGCTTCCCACGGGCGCTGCGGTGGCAGCGGTGGCGAGGCTCTGCGAGCGGCTGCGCGAGAGGTCTGCCGCGTAGGTGCGCCCGCGGTAGTTGCTGTTATTGCTGCTGGTGTTATTACTGCTGCTGTGGTTATACCGTGCATCGTAGAGCTCGTCGTCGGGGTCGACGAGCTCGTCGTCCTCGAAGGTGGACGCAAAGCGGTAGGACGCGCTGCGGCCCTGGGATGCGAGGAGACCGCCGCCGCCCCACGCGCCGCCACCGCCGAGAGACGACGGGATGAGGTGCGTCGCCGGCGGGGAGGAGATAAAGCTCCCGGCGGAATGTGGTGGCTGCGACGCCGCGCGTGGTCCTCCTCCGCCTCCTCCCCCTGTGCTCGAGGTGGAGTCGGGGAAGAAGCGGTTGCGGCGGTCGCGGTCGTGGTCGCGGTCGTACTCGTCCGGGTCGTCGTAGTCGTATGACTCGTATTCGGTATGCATCGCCATCGTTAGCTAGCTCGGCGTCGGCGTCGGCGTCTATAAGCTTGCTGGATTCAGGATATCTAGAGTCTAGGCAGTGTAGTGTAGTGTAGTCGTCTTTGTGAGAGTCTAGGGAAGGATGGAGAAGGATGGATACTAGTAGACGGCGGAGGGAATGGGGAGGAAGCAAGCCATGGGGAAGCCAGCTGACACATCACATGTCTCCTGTTTCTATTCTCCAGCCACTGCCCCACGCTCTATGCCCACTGGGCCTATTCTAGACGGTGTGATCGTGTCCTAGCTGCGATGTGTGCGTCTACATATTACTCTACAGGACGAAGAGCGCAAAAACGGCGAGAAAGCATTTACCGCATCCAAATCCCGGAAAATATCCTGGATTTTTCCACCTTCAGAGCAAGCAGGAGAATAGCTCGCAGGTGAGACATCCATGATCCGCCAGCCCAGAATACTTAGGATACTGATTTGACAGCATGTCCGTGTCAATCACCGTAGCAGATGACCGACGCGGAATTGCAACGCGAACCAATCTGGCAGCATTGAGTATCGGCATTGCGTATGGATATACTCGAGACCGCAACGGCAGCCGTCTATTCAGTGGCAAGCGCTGTCCTCTCCACAGATTTCGTGTCTTCGGTGCCGGCATGCTCTCTGACTCTAGTTATGTCCTCGTGTGTGTGTGAAAGGACAATGCTGATGCCTAGATCGCCGAACACTCTTCTTACTGGTCTCGCCTCCTCTGGCTCTGAATCTGGCTCTGGTTCTTCAGTAAGAAATGTGTACTTTGCTCCATTGTCTCATCCCAACAGCTCGAGTGTTTACCGAGCTGTTCTACCCGCGTGAGCTCGTGGGCGGCGTAACGCTAACACTACTTCTGCGTTCTATGCCGACATACCACCCTCCTTCCCTCCCCTTCTCCTCGATCTGGTGCCTCCTCTCTCGGCCCGGGGCTCTTCCTCTTCCCCTCCCATGTCTGCCTACCCGAGGACTCTGTGCCCTTCGTTTCATTCACGACCCATCTCCGAGTCTCTACTTGTCGCTCTCTCGGTGTTTCTCCTCCAAGTTCTAGAGCGAGTCTGCGAGTTAAAGATACCCCTCCCGTCCCTTCCCTTCCCACCAACCCTCGCCGTTCGCATCCCATTGGCCGCGCCTAACCACTTCTCCGGATTCTTCTACGACTATTTTCATTCTCATTTCCGGCCCCTAGTATATCTCGGCGACAATCTCTCCTCAAACCCACCATGCTTCACTCAAAAGTCGATGCTACGCATTGCCACGAACTCTACACACATACTTGAGCCCCAGTCCTCTAACACGTTCAGCGGTAGTTCCCCAAAAAGAAGATTAATTCGAGCAGCGACATGGCCCAGGCCCGAGTCGAACGAGCTTTTCCGCAAAATCGCAATATCAAGCCTATGTAATGCAGACGCGCTCCGAGAGCTACCAGGCCTTTCTATGCTGCATTTTAGCTTAACCAGATCCGAGAGAATTTAGCGGGAATTTACAAAGGGAGGAAAAAAGACATGTGAGAGACTGTCATGGCTTGGACTCGAGTCGAACGAGCTCCTTCTGCAGTACAATTTAACTTTTGCCAAGGCCCCTAATTGGATGCAGACGCGCTCCGAGCGCTACCAAGCCTTCCTACCCTCCCTTTAGCCTAATTATATGTGAATCGTCAGCAGGGATTTTTGAAGAGAGGGTAAAAAAGGCGACAGCGACGACAACAGTGGCTTGGGCCCGAGTCGAACGAGCTCCTTCTGCTCTTCCAATTGACACCTCTTGCATAAGGAACAGATGCGCTCCGAGCGCCACCAAGCCTGTCCACCCTCCCTTCAGCCTAATCATATGTGAATCGTCAGCGGGGATTTTTGAAGAGAGGACAAAAAAGATGATACCGACGAGATGAACTATGGCTTGGGCTCGAGTCGAACGAGCTCTTTCTGCTCTTCCATTAGAGACCTCTTGCATAAGGAACAGATGCGCTCCGAGCGCTACCAAGCCTTCCTACCCTCCATTTCAGCCTAATTATATGTGAATCGTCAGCGGGGATTTTTGAAGACAGGACAAAAAAAAGACGACACCGACGAGAATGGCTTGGGCTCGAGTCGAACGAGCTCTTTCTGCAGCATTCTACTCACGGCCTTATCTAGTGCAGACGCGCTCCGGGCGCTACCAAGCCTTTCCAACCCTCATTTCGGCCTAATCATATCTGAGCGAATTTGTGAGGGAAACAACCCAAAAAACATCCTGTCAGCAGCCAGAGTCTTGGGCCCGAGTCGAACGAGCTCCTTCTGCAGAACGTGCCATTCTCAAATATGCATTTTGTGCAGATACGCTCCGAGCGTTACCAAGCCTTCCCTCCTTACTTCAGAACCTGGATATACCAGAGCGCATTTGGAAGGAACTTACAAGTCGGGCGCAGAGGGAAAAAAGGCTAGCGATAGGCACTATGGCTTGGGCTCGAGTCGAACGAGCACCTTCTGTAGAATTCTGAACACCGCTGAACAGGATGCAGACGCGCTCCGAGCGCTACCGAGCCTTCCCACTCCCTATAGCTCAGCCTAATTAAAGCTGTATTTAGTAGGATGTTCGAAGAGAGGACAAAAAAAAAACGACGGACGTCGGAGAATGGCCTGGGCTCGAGTCGAACGAGCACCTTCTGCAGAATTCTGCTGACCGCTCAACAGGATGCAGACGCGCTCCGAGCGCTACCAAGCCTTGCTATCTTCCATTCCAGCATGAATATACATGAATCGTTCGTCGGAATTCATGAGCTATGGGAAAAAATTGGTTACGAAAGCAATCAGGGCTTAGGCTCGAGTCGAACGAGCTCCTTCTGTGTTCAATATGACTGTGACACCCGCTAAGGACTGCAGACGCGCTCCGAGTGCTACCAAGCCTTTCCCTGGTGTATTTCGGCTTGATCATACCTGAATGGACTCCGGCGTTCAGGGAGAATTTAGGGGCAGAGGAAAATGTATGGCGTACCAAGACAGAGGCTTGAGCCCGAGTCGAACGAGCTCTTCTGTAGAGTATATATCCTTCCAGAATATGTAGTGCAGATACGTTCCGAGCACTACCAAGCCTTCCTCAACTGTATTTCAGTCTGAACAAACCAATCAGAATCTAGAAGGATTCAGGCAGAGAGAAAAAAGATATTACAACAGGACGAAGGGGCTCGGGCTCGAGTCGAACCGACTTGAACGAGCTTCTTCCTCTGCAGATCGAAATCTATCAAAACCCATGGGACACAGAAGCGCTCCGAGCGCTACCAAGCCTGTCCCACCTGTATTTCGACCTGAACTGCAGAGTTGGATCTGAGAGCAGACAGAAAGAAAAGAAGGAGCAATCACCTGCGAAATCCGTCGTTGCCTGGTTGATTTGATTCTTGAATTAACGATCGTTTTAAGAATCTACTGCCACTCCCAAAGCACCTGCAGCTACGTCACCAGCAAAAAAATATACTGAGCCAACGGCCGCCCCTCAAGCGCTTGTTCCCCCGCAGCCTTGACCCGGGCAGCCTTGCCGCGGATCAGCAGCGCTGTTTTCGGTTACGATGCTTTGCTGGGGAAGCACGATGCACTGATAGGCGAGGTTCAAATCCTCCGTGCCGCCGGCGTCATGGGTCGAGGAAATGCGCAAGGCCAGTGAGGAGAAGGGCGCGAAGATCGCTGGTCTGGAGGAGGAAACCAAGGACTTGCGCGAGGACCTTGCATATTATGACGAAGGTGCCGCGGCGCGCAAGGCCAAGCGCGAGTTCAAGCGTCGAAGGACTGAGTCGCTGGAGATGTGATTTGCCATGAGGCTGATAGCGAATCGGCGGAGGTGCACTTGCATTTACTAGACGGTGTTCATAAAATTAAATGGAGGCGTGTAGAAGAGAAAGAACTTCGCATGTGTGAAGGGACGTGCTTCATGCAGGTTTCATGGAGAAACTGACAAGGCCAGCGGAAACCTGAACGAAATCATTCGTCTCGAAATGAATGCGGCGTCCTAGCCTCGTCGTTCATCCCCTCACGAGCGACATCAGTAGTGTTAGGGGACTATGCGCGCATATGCGAATGCCTGTGCACGAAAATCTGCTCGGCACGAAGTGCTGCTCTGGATCGTTGTCGTGGAGTCGCGGCGCATCAACCACAGGAGTCGGGGAAATCTCATATTGCACAGGATGTATACAATGAGGGCTCGGACATAAGCTGGGTACGCACAGGATCCGCTGAGCCGTGGATGTCGCACCCGATGAACTAGGCCGCGGCGGCAGCCTGAACCTGCTGCCGGAGTGGCCCAAACCTTTCACCATACTTCTCCTTGATCCCTTTCTGCGAAGGGTCGATCGTCAGAAAAGACTCGAGCTGCACGGAAAGAGGACATAGGGGATAGGAGGACGCCATAAACTCACCGCACTGAACGTCGTCTTGAAGCTCTCCCGCGCCTTGATTTCGTCAAAGTACTTGACAAGCCGCGCAAAGCGCCCACCGGAGAAGAAATATTCGGCAGCCTTCGTACCCTCTCCCTCCTTGTATGCGCCGATGTCGTTTTTCAGCGCGACCTCCATGCGCGCGGCGCGAGGGCGATGTCCGCCGCGGTGAACTCGTCGCCAACAGCGAACGGCTTGTCCGTGGGGAGGAGGCTCTGCAGCGCCTCTAGCACGTCCCACAATGCCGCGAACGATTCCCCGCGGACGAGAGGGGCCATGAACGCCGGACCGAACTTGGTCGAGACGACATCGATAATGAAGCGCGTTTTGGCGCGCAGCACGGCGTCCGTCGGCAGCAGCGCCGAGGCTGGGTACAGATCTGCGACGAACTCGACGAGGATGAGGGACTCCGCGAGCCTGATGGATTCGGGCGAGGGCTGGTCTGGGGGAACTTGCGGGCCGCCGTACGCTGCGCGAGAAATCAGATAATGCTGGCAATGCCAAATTGAGCCTACCTATCGCGGGGACCTATTGTTATATGTCGTTCAGCAATGGTTCCGGCGACGAGACCAGCGCACCGACCTTGCTTGCGGGGTTGACTTTCGAGGCATACCACTCTGGCTTGTTCCCGAGGTCAATTTCGACGCGGGTGAAGTCTACCTTGGCTTCCGCGAGCGCGAGCTCGACCTAGAAATACGCGGTGAGTACAACACGCCAAGATGAGATGCCCGATTTAGCACGTACCCTGTGGGCATAGGGGCAGCCCTGGGTGGGTTAAAGTCAGGTAGGAATGAGGGAAGGAGGAAAGGAAGGAAGGAGGAGGTACCGCGGAGGTGTAGAGGGTGATCTGCTCTGGCATGATGGATGTGGATACGATAGAATGTGGGAGATATTTATAATTTAACGGATGGCGGAATGAGCCGTTGGGATGAGAATTGATGCCATTACTCATCTTATGGTTTGTGGGCGGATAAACGGCCAGTTAAACTTAGATTTATTGCGCATCCTCCCGATAGTCTCCTGTAAACCAGGGTTCCGAGTCCTCGCGGTACTTGCGACTGTAACCCACGACTCACCAGTCTCAGAAGCATATCCCTGGATTTCCGTCCTTGCGCCGCTGACTACTTCTGCGATACTTATCTCCTTCTGGACCACTGGAAGTTATTTTTCTTCCAGGCGCGACAGTCACGTTTGAATTGTTCCTTTCCGCATAACTCGTTTAGGAAGGGTCGAGGAAGGGTGTGCCAGTGGACTGCCAGTTTATAGCGCGGGCGAATTTACTTGAGCGAATCGAGACGTAACCTCTACCGGGATTCTAAAAGCAGTAGGGCTGTGCGCCGTCCCGTCGACGCGTTTGAATTGTTCCTTTCCGCATAACTCGTTTAGGAAGGGTCGAGGAAGGGTGTGCCAGTGGACTGCCAGTTTATAGCGCGGGCGAATTTACTTGAACGAATCGAGACGTAACCTCTACCGGGATTCTAAAAGCAGTAGGGCTGTGCGCCGTCCCGTCGACGGGCACGGCCGTCGTTTCGACGGGACCTGGACGGGAACGGTCCGTCACGCGACGGCCGTCATTTCGACAACTCAAACTACTGAGTAAGTTCATAAGGTGTGGCCTAAACTGTGTATTGGGCTTACCTGTGCATGAAACACGCCTTGCAAAAGGCTTATACATCGCATATGACCGAGTATGGCGTGTTTTCTGGACCCGTCGACGGCCGTTTTTGACGGGCACAAACGCAGTCGAAAAGCGCGACGGAACGCGTCGGCTACCCGTCGCACGGAACCCGTAGAACCGGCGCGACGGGCACGGCGCACAGCCCTAAAAAGCAGAGCCTGAGGAGATCGTGACAGAAGAATGCGCTCATTGTCACGGTGGTCAGTGGAGACGTGACCATCACTGATGTGACAGACAGCAAACATCGCGTCAACAATGCGTCGCGTCGAATGGGTGTCTGATTCCGCTCTTCCTAGGTCGAAATATTGATGGCCTAACGATAATGTATGAAACTGCACCTAAAACTTTTCTGACAGTCGATTTTGAGGCCGCCAAAACCCATTACTAAAGGTAGCGGGCATTCTACTGAGTCACCGACCCCGCGTAATTATAGCTACGCCCTCTGCGCGCTATCAGGTCGTCGTACTCCCAACCTTCACCCACCTTACATTTGATCTGGTTGGGGGGATTCTGAAGAGAGCGAAAAAGGACCCGCGGAATTGA